TAAATAAAATATTAAAAAAAAAGAAAAGAAAAGAGGTGCCTGGGTGTCTCAAACGCTTAAGCAGCTGCCTTCGGCTCAGGTCATGATCTCAGGGTCCTGGGATCAAGCCCCACATAGGGTTCCCTGCTCAGCGGCGAGTCTGCTTCTCCCTCTCTCTCTGTGATCTCTCTCACTCTCTCTCAAATAAATAAATAAAAATCTTTAAAAAAAATAAAGGTCAAGAAAACCCCATTGGATTTGGGGGGGGAAAAAAGACATTTGAAAAGAAAAAGTTGTTGGAAATGATGGTAAGAACATTTTTGGAGGACAATTAGTGGCAGAAACCTGAGTGCCGTAGATCATAAAGTGAGTTGAAATTGAAGAAGTGGAACCAGTATGAATGTTGGCAACTCTTACCGTAAGTTTTGTCAAGGAGGGGGAAAATAACACAGGATCTGAAAGGGACATTAGTGACAAGGTATTATTCATGTGTGAGTATATTTTACGTGGGTTGACTCCTCTGTTTGCTAGTTGTTAATGGAGAGACTGCTTTACACTGGTGAGAAAGAAAGGAAGAAGGTAAAGGTACTAAAGTATAGATTGGGATATTCCACAAGGTTCCTGAGGAGGAAGGAATAGAATCTAGGTCATAGATGAAGGGATCACCATTGGGTGCTGTGTTAGTTAGCTTGGGCTTCCATAACAAAGTACCACACACTGGGTGATTTAAACAGCAGAAATACAGTGTCTCCCATTTTTGGAATCTGAAAGTCTGAAATCAAGGTGTCCACTAGGTTGGTTCCTTCTGATAGCTGAGACGGAAAAATTTATTCCAGGCCTCTCTCCTTGACTTATAAAAAACCATCTTCTGCCTGTGTCTCTTCACATTATCTTTCCTACATGAATGTCTGTATCTAAATTTCCCCTTTTTATAAAGACACCAGTCATATTGGATTAGGGGTCCATCCCCCCATCACAGGGGTCCCACCTGTGAATAGGAGCAATAAATAAATATAAGATATGAAGAAATATTATACTTTGTCTTATTTTTCAGAGTGGTTGTGTGATTAGTTTTTTCCTCTCTGAGCCAGTTCAACAAACAATTGAAGAATCATCGCTCATGGACCTAGGCAAGTAATTTCATCAGTATTATTATGTACAATTTTTGAGTTTCAACATAACTGTGCAAAAAATATCACAACTATATTTTTTTCAACTTTCAAATTAAAACCTTTTCAAAGAATAAACTTTAAGAGTCTTTTCTATTTCCAAAGCTTTTTAACCCCTTAGAAAATGTTCAAGTTAAATTAAACTGACATATGTTTGTCCAAATATAATAACTACATGATGTCACACTATTAACTCATTTCTATTAATTGTGCATTGAGGTGGAATTGCATTTCAGAGACAGAGTTCCTGTTTTCCCCCTGCAGGTAAGTCTTCTAGTTTACTCAACAGCTTAGGAAGCAACAAAAATAAATATTAGGCAATAACAATGATTATGAATTATCTCGCAGTTTCACCCTTATCTCTTAAAGCTCAGTAATTACTCTACCTCCCTCATGAAATCTTTTTATTACCTGGATCCCAAACTAGCCCAGCACAATTATCCACCCTATTCTCTGCCAAATGTGTGTTAATTCTAATTACTTTTCTAACATTTCTCCAAACTGGCAGGAACTCTCTTTGAATGTCCCATCAAATTTAAGCATTCATAATAAAATTCCATTGCCAATAGCTATCCAATACTGAGACCGGTTTTTATCTCACACAAGATTTGCAAGCCTGTAATTTGCTAGACCTCACCCCACTTTCCTTTGCAATTCACAGTCTTTATTTTATCCATATCTCCTTCTGATTCTCTGCCTTTAAGTTTAGGCCCATCTGCTTATCACTTCTGCTTGTATCTGACACTGTAGTTACCTACGCTTAGGTACATAATTCTATACAACCAGATCAAGTTGAATAGTGTAATTGCTTAAGTTGTATATTTATGTGTGTGTCTGCCTGCTTCTTCTGTTAAACTGAAGTAACTTTAAACTGAGAACTCACTTCCCCACTATGCATTGCTTTGTACTCACAGCTCCAAATTAACGTATGAGGATTGTACCTCTCTCATTCCCCTATATTTTACTCATTTGGCATCACTCTCTAAGACACTTTGCTTATATAGCTAAACCATAAACATAAGTAAATAAGGTCATTTCTTACAATTTGTAGCATGTATCTAAAGAAGAATGATATCCACAAAAAATATTTCCTTATTATTGTCATAGTACACAAATATCTAACAAATACCTTCTTTTTAAAAATACTGTTAGCTGGGGATATTTTTTACCATTAATATTTATAAACTTGAATTAACCAGATTTAAAACAACATAAGGTTGCTGATTTCTAGAGCTGTCAGACATTTTAAAAAGTAATAGGTTGACCTCTATTCTGTCATCAATGTCCTTAAAGAAAATTGATTCTCTATGTATCAAAAAATTAAACTGTGGATCACTATCAATTTTTTAGTTTTGCTGATAGTATTATTTCTCTGTAAGGTGTTTGAAATTCATAAGAACACAAAAAGTTAGGATTATTATTGTAAAAAATAAAATGTTTGAATTTTTTTCTCATTCACTTATTTCTTACTACATCATTCAATATTCAAGACTTGTTTTGGCAGAATGATGATGGACAAAAGACTTGATTCTCAATATTCGGTTGCATATGAAATATAGCCTATTGTTTTAAAACAATAAAACACATCTTCTAAGCAGAATATGCAAATAATTACAAGAAACAAGGATTAGCAGAAAGTTGGTCCTCCTTGTATTCTTTAAATTATTTTCTTTTCCATACTTCCAAATTCTTCATACTTTTGTCATGTTCATAAACAAAAAAGAACACTATTTATTTTAAGCACTATTCGTGTTAGTTAGTTGAAACTTTCTGCTTATGTTGTTAAATGATTAGAGGACAAAATTATTTAAATGTATTAAAATGTTGGTTGACAGTGGATGACCTTAAGAAAAAAATCTCAAGACTTTACCATATTTACTACTTCTACTAACAAGTTTGAGTAGATTCTGGATAACTATGTATCTAAGCACATGACTTGTAAGGATCATATTAGTAATTTGTAATCCTGGATCTGAGAGATATTAATATTCCTTTGCCTCTACTCACCAACTAAACGTGCCTTGGTAGGACAATATAAGAATTTGTCTTTTTAAAGTGCCAAGCCAATCATCACTCTTCTGTACTTCACACTTTTCCTTGGCTTCTCATTGCCCTTAGGTAGAGCCAATGTCATGGGCTTATGACCGGTACAGTCACACGAGGCATAGTGCTTAGAAAGGTCCTGCATTTGGTTTAATACTCAGCTGTCACTGTCTTGAAATTCTTAATAATTTTTGTAAAATGAACCCCACATTTTCATTTTGCATTTTCATATCACTGAGCCTCAGAAATTATGTAGCTACCCCTGCCCTTAGGATAAAGACCAAAATCTTCATGATGGCATCCCAGCAGAATCTGGCATCCCCCAATTTCCCTTTCCAACCTTAATATCAGGCCCTTCTCTATCTTGATTCTTGTGTTTTCCCAGCTCTTCAACTAAGACAAGCCCCTCAGTGCCTAACAGATGCACCTTTCTCTGCCTGGACCACTTGACCCTATTTTACCTTCTCCGGTTTTTGTTTTGTTTTGTTTTGTTTTGTCTGCATCCTTCAGATCTCATCTTATTTGTCTTTGCTATATACTCTTAAAATGTTTTTCTTCAAAATTATTGCAATGATGTTTATGGCTTGTGTGTTTCTTTGTAGACTAGAAATCCATGAAGACATAATCCATGTCTGTAATCATGCTACTACTCTCACAATTACCACTTCCTGTGGCGGTGCCCTGGCCCAAGGAATTCACTGCCTCCCCACCACTAGAATTTTCTTGAAGTATTACCTGGAAAAAAATCTTCTACATGTTATCACATTAAATATTATGGAATCAACCACACGCAACCAAAGCACTACCCAGAAAGTTGCCAGATTTTATCTTGTATATTCTTTAACTCTCTACTGACATGATCCTCTATACTCCCTCCAAATTAATATAGGTCCCATGCTAAATTGTACCTCCACAAAAATATAAAATTATCCGTCCTCCACCAGTACACAACACTGACATGCAGAAGATAGATTTTTGTCAAGGTCTAGAGACAATAACATAGGTAATGGAGTAGAAAATAATCAAAGACAACAGTTGTCAGGGTTAAGAGGCTGAATTAATGAGCATGTTTAGATGTCATTGATAATTACAAATGGTTACAAACAGGAGCTTTTAATCATTACCTCACATCACTACCTCCAATTGGAGATGCTAATTTAAAAGGGACCCTAAAGCCACAGTCTCCGTGACAGGGTCTCTCTGGTTAATGTTAGAGCTACTTGTTCTAGCAGAGCCCAGATCAATTATCTATAGGTTGAATTATGGTACCAGGTTTTCAATGTAAATTTTAATGATATGGAAGGACAGAAGGGGAGGGCTAGGAGTACTTAGAAATAAGTACTTATATTAAATTGTTTCTGAAAGTTGAAAGCCTTAAAATATTATGCATTTTACTATATTATATCATACAATATCATGTTTCCAATTAGAAAATTATTTTAGACTTTTACCTGTGGCTGATGGGGGCAAGAAAAGATGAAAAGAAGATGAGAGAAGAGTTATTCTAATTACTTCATGTCTAATAGCTGGGTATCAAAGATATCACTAAAATCTAACAAATCAGGCAATAAAAAAGTCAACATATATAATATTAATGTTAGAGAAACACTAAGATCACAACATTGAATATAATTGGGTGGTAGATGAAAGAAGAGTGCAAAAGATTATGCACACTAATTTTATCTCTGTTTCTATTAGGAAACAAAATTGTCAAAAAATTAAAAGTCTAGGGGCGCCTGGGTGGCTCAGTTGGTTAAGCGACTGCCTTCGGCTCAGGTCATGATCCTGGAGTCCCGGGATCGAGTCCCACATCGGGTTCCCTGCTCGGCGGGGAGTCTGCTTCTCCCTCTGACCCTCCTCCCTCTCATGCTCTCTGTCTCTCATTCTCTCTCTCTCAAATAAATAAATAAAATCTTTAAAAAAAAAAATTAAAAGTCTAAGAATACTAAATAAAAATAACCACTAGAACAAAAGTAAAAGCTTTTCTAAGTACCACAAGTACATAAAAATAAAAACAAATTCCTTAGCCAAAGACTTTCTCTAAAAATCATAAAAACAAAAATGTATTTCTTTAACGACATAAAACAGTAAGAAGAAAGAGAAAATGAATCTATTATATCAATAAGTATAAATGGACTTAATTCATCCATAAAGAAAAAAAATTGCCAATTGGAGCAACAGTATAAATCATAACTCTATACGTAAAAACACACCTAAGACAAAATAAAATTTAAAAATTGAAAATTAAACTCCAAGCATAGGTATATTAGGCAAGAAGCATTGAATTAAACAAGAATGCAACTTTAAACTATAATAAGTACAATTCTCAATAAAGATATGAGCACTTATATATAAATAATGGTTATATATATATATATATATATATCAGTTATATGACAGCAACATATATAAAGCAGAAGTTATGGAACATTCAAGGAAAAATACACAACAGACTGGTAATAGGATATTCTAATTCACTTTTTTTGATTTATGAAAGGCTGAGTGAAAAAAAATAACTAGATACATAGAAAACTAAATTGTAAAATTAAAAAAAGGCAAACTTTATTAATTTATATCAAACATTTTATCCTGAACATCATGAAAATAGATTATATATTAGGCCACAAAGAAAATTTCAATTAATCCTAAAAAGTAGAAATAGTACAAACACATTTTCTAATCATGAAAAAGTAAAGTGAGAAATTAATTTTAAAAATTCAGAAAGCTAAAAGATACTTGTTTGGAGATTTAAAAACATAGGCTCTCTTGAACAACTCTTGGGCCAAAAGGACTTAAAAAACAAAATTGCAAAATTTCTAAAGAATAGCTGTACATCTAAGAAACCATAGGAGAGAGATAAACCAATGCTCAGTAATTGGAATAATTGGAATAAGACCTTAAAACAAACCAAAGGAATA